CCAACAGCAAAATGGACTCGAAAGCACTGACACCAAATGAAATGCACTGTGCAAGCAAATGAAATGTGGTTCCAAGACACAGATAGCAAATGGTCCAAAAACTACTTTTTATGGCTGAAAATTGTCCGATTGGGTCATTTTTTGCAGATGCGTGCGAAAAAGTTGAGAAAAGAGTAGTTCATCATGCAAAAGTTCTAAATCCATTGTGAAAATTGGGATTCACATGTAAAGCCACACTGTGCACATGCACAGTGTGAAACTCACAAAAACTGAGCCCCATTCGATTATCGATTGATTATCACAATTCGATCGATAAACGCTTTTACCAGCAGCTTGTCAACTAGCGTGCCGCCGAACTACACACAACACCACACTCACACAAAAAAAAACGAATTATTCGGATGCAAACACATCGGTTGTGAAGAGAAAAAAAACATACAAAAACCAATTTCATACACTTCTTGTAATTATTTATAGATAAACAATTTGAAAGGTCGATATGATGGAAAATACTGGAGAATCGATTCGTGTCTTTTTTTTGTTGTGTTTTGAATTCTTATTATTTTTTGTACATAATATACACACATCGAGAGAAAGGGAGAGAGAGAGAGAGAGAGAGAGAGAGTGAAAGAGATTGAGTGAGATAAAAAGAGAGACTAAAGCTGAATGTGAGAGACTGGCGCCGGCATTCGAAGGAATTACGATTTAGGGAGAGTTCATTTTTTGTCGTCTGTTTTTCTTTAGTAATTCAATTGTGCCAGATGATGATGCGGAACGATTGACTAATGATTTTATCTTCGATTTGTTCGTCTTGACTTATTCACGCCAATATTTTTTTCCGTCTTTTTGTTGCTTTTGATATTTCCGAAATATGTACACCAAAATCACTTGAAGTGATCCTGGATAGGGTGGTTGACAATGTCAAATGGGCATGCAGGACGAGGACTGGAGCAGATTTTGAACTGTCGACAACCGTGATAGAACAATTGTGATTTGACTCGAATTACTTGATCGAATTGAATAACTTATTCAAGTAGATGATTCAAATACTTCAGTCGAGAGCAATTCAGTTCCAATCAAAAAAGTTCAAATGAAGAAATTCGGTCCAAAAAATTTGGTTCAATCGAATGATTCGACCAAAAAAGTTTGATCCAAAATTTTGATTCGGAAATTTGATTCGGTTTGACTCAGTTTGATTCAAAAATACCATTCAAAAATTCGACTCAAATAATTTCATCTAAAAATTTAAAAAAAAAAATGCAATTAAGTTCAATAATCCGCATCCGTTCAGTCCGACATGCAACACTTCAAGTTGGTGGTGCAATAAGAATAAAAAGAAACTGTGTGCAACAATCGAATTTGTGTGGCAAAAAGCGAAAAATGAAGAATAAGCCGCAGGCGAACAACTGACGAGAGCGAATCGGTTGATCTGTTAGCATTGTTAAATTTCAAGTCAACATAATTTTTTTGCAAGTTTACATGCTTCGTTTTTTTTTTTTAATTATTCGTTTTAATGCATTATCGCGAAAAACAGATGCAACAAATGGTGGTAGGATTTTTTCCTCCAGGAAAAAAATCCGCAGAAAAAAAGAAGAAAAATTCCGATTTCTTTTTTGGAATGTGTGTATAAAACATCTTAATCTCGATCATTCGTTCCTATTTTCCCATACATTCTGTCCGGTATGTTTCGTCGTTATACCCTGTAAGCAGCCATTCAATTTCAATTAATTGCCACAGCCTAAGAGCCTGAGACAAAACACAATAGATATTTCCTGCTCTTGTAGATAGTAAATTTAAATATGAACACACGAAACAACCGAATTTGTTTTTTCACAAAAGCCACACAAACACACACCAGCCCACCCCTCCGCCAAAAAACCGCCCTTCATGCACACTATTTTCACTTGCTAAATAGAAAGAAGAAAACAACAATTAGGATTAGTAACGACAATGAAATAGTAGTCCAGCGATGAACTGGATCCGTGTTACGATTTAATGGTTTCCGATATATTTATATCACAAGTGAAGAGAACAACAAGAAAAAAAGAAAAAAAAAACTAGCTGATTTTTTACCAGTTGCCAACCCATCATTGCCTTCATAATTAAAACAATTAATTTTTCTTTTTCTCGTTCATACGCAACTAGATAAATTACCATCTGTTTTTTTTTTTTGTCTCAGTATTGTTTCTTTAATATTTTTTATTTTTGCTCATCGTTTCTATGCCATTGTTGTTTAATGAAGAAAATAGTAGAATCATTATTACAGAGAAAGAGACCAGAATTGAAAGTTCATTTTTTTATTCTTGTAAATATTTGTTTTTTTTCTTTCTTTTTTTGGTTTTTTCCTCTTTCGATGAGTAAATGTTATTTCATCCTGATCCGATTTATAATTTTTTTTTACTCAAGTAGATGTTTTCGACAGCTTAAAATTTAACTTTTTTCCGAATTTGATATTTAAATGTATGGAAATGGGAATTTACGTGTTCCGAATTGGAATTTTCAGTTTTTTAGAACATTTGAAGCTGCATTTTGATCAAATGTGTGCTTTGAATGTTCGTAAAAAAAAGCCAAAAATTTCATTTTTCAATTATTGACCCAAAACATCTGATTTTTGAGCCTAAATTTCGATTTTTTCATCCAAAAATTTCGATTTCCAACATCCGACACCCAAAATGGTTAAAATTGTTCAGAATAATTTGGAAGCGATTTTTTGCCAATTATTTTTCTCTGTATTTCCCCTTTAATGCCAATTTATAGTTTGTTACATTGCGAATTAGATGTTCCCACGGCCACATAACCAAAATATGGTTTCTGTTTATATTTTTTTTACTCGTTCCGCACATGATTCATGTGTGAAAGAATTTTTCTTCACGCACACCATTGGTTGAGTACACGCTACCACGTTGGTGTGAATGTGAATGAAATGTTTCATTTTGGGAAATCTACTTCAATCGACCAAAACTCCGACTGCGCGTCGCACCGACGACGACGATGTTCGGGCAAACCAAATCACCAATATTGTGACCACTAAAACAAATATCTGATACACCTAAGCATACATATAAAATAGTGAATTTTCCTTAAAATTTAACACAAAACAAAACGTCAAGAGGAAAAAAAAACCAATTGAATAGACTTAGCGAGAGCGATTTGTTGTATTTGAAATTAGATGAGCCGGCTCAAACGACAAGAACACACTTACACCACTTATAAAGAATTGTCAAGACTTTATTTGTACAATATACAAACACGAATCGAGAGAGGCAGGAGAAAAAGAGAGAAAAATGCCAGCAAAATTTTTTCTTCATTTTTGAAACACACACACAAAAGAGAAACTTGAAAGAAAATAGGAGAATAAAAGAAAACTCAACCGAAAGCTATAAATTTTTTTTAAGAAGGACGAAATGAACTAAAAGAGAAAGAAAAACAAAGAACACACAGAGAGACACACAAGTCGACGAAACTCGCAAATATTTATAATTATTATTAGACGAAGTGGGAGGAATTTTTTCCATTCTTTTGTTCGTTTTTTTTTTTTGGTAATCAATTTGCATATACATGAAATGATAAAGAAGAAGAAAACATTTGTAAACTCCGAATAAATGGAATCAACATCATACTATTGACTAGATAATGTAATACTGAAAGAAAAAAAAAAATACAAAAAAAAAAAATTCACAACAAAGAAAAATGAAACAAAAAAAAAACACACAAGACAAAAATGAAAGGATGGACATGTAAATACATGCATGCGGCGTGTAAAATTCAACGAGCTGATGGAATTTCGTATATATTTTTTTTTCTTTCGTTTTTGCAATGCCAAAAAAAAAAAACAAATGAATTAACCCAAAACAAGCAAATGCTCAACCAGTTCACAATAGGACATTTGCCACAAAACGTTGGTCGGTTTTGGATTTTTTTTTTTTGGCCGAGATTTTAATATGGACATATTTTGAATGAAAATGAACATGATTTTGAAGATGAAGCTCATTGCATTTTATCGCCACATCGCATACAATTGTACGATGAATGCAAAATATTAAAAAAAAAAAAAAAATACACACAACCAACTATACATATGTATGATATATGGATAAAAATGTGCATATTTTGGTGTAATTCGATATTATAAAATTATTAAAAAATATTATTGATTTTTTGTTATACGCAGCAAATGAAAAAATGAAGAAAAAAAAAATCTAAAAAAAAAATCTCGCAACCGTTGTTTTTATTGAAAAAAGAGAGACCTTGATTTTTAGCTGATGTTTTAGCATTTTTATTATTATTCTGCATGGTAACGACCGATTTACAGGACGGAATGTTCAAACCAGGGAATTTAACTATTCTGAGTGAAAACTGAATTCAGTACAAGCACCTGTTTTTACCAATTGAGGACCTTTCTGTTTCGAATTCATATACTTACATACATTTTCATTGGTGAAGAAGCTCCACGATTCGAATAATAAAGGAAGTTCAGGAAATTCCTTCAACGAATGGATGAAAAAGGGGTGAGTAATAGCGGTATGCATGTAAAAGATGTACCATGACGAAAAATAAAAAAATCATTGCTCAAAATAAGGTAAAATGAGAGACGAGATCTAGTCTTTGGTCATTACATGGAAAACCATTCGCGTTCAGTCTGAAATTTTGTGACATTTTGAACTTAACATAAAAACATGAGAAACCATCCATAAAATGAGTTCGACTTGACGTTTTATCTCGTAATGATTACGAGTTGAACAGTCTGAAAAAGTATGAACTAGTAGAAAAGTAGGTTAAACTTTCGTAATAAATGTATACTTCAAAAGAAATTTCGTGAGATTTATGTTTGAGAGAACCAATTCAGGAGCAAAAAAAAAAAATCTGAAAAAGGAGAAAACAGAGAAAAAAAGACAGCTTCAGAAATTGAATTTCTTCCCGAAACGAATCTTCAAAGCATTGACCCAATTTAAGCCTTAAAATGCCTATAAAAAGCGTTATAAAAAACACGCATTGCAATCCATCGTAAATGTTTCATAATAATCGGGTGTATATTTCTTTATTTCGATAATAAATGACTTATGTTTTTTTTTTGTAAAAAATACAAAATTTCACGTACAAACGTAATTATTTATTGTTGTTTGTTTTCGAAAATCGCTTTGCACATTTATTGTGTTTACTTAGAATGGTCTTTGGAATTTCCGTATTTCAAAACACCATTTTGTGGTGGCCCATTTGTTTTGGTAATATGTTATTTGCTTAGAAAATAAATCTCGACAGTAGTTCGAGAGTGAAACTCTTCCAATGTGTGTGTTCCATACACTCGGTGTATGTGTGATATGAAATTCCGTGAATTTCGTGTTTCTAGTGTTCATAAAATGGAACTGTGTATGTATTTTACCAATTGTTCAAAAAGTCGTAATCGGCCGATTGGTTTAGAATATCGTTTAAATCATCATCATCATCGTCATTGTTGTTGCGGCTGATGAGTCGACTCATATCAGTGATTTCGTCCGGTTTGGATGAGCCAGCACTCTTCGTTGACATTGAATCGAAATTTTTTGCCGATTCAATGCCCAAATTAATGCCTGACAATGAATCAAGCGGCACTTTCGATTTTAGACTAGGAACACTCACAGGCATCGTACTGCTTTTACCGCTAAACAATCGGGTCATGAAACTCTTTCGCCTGTAGAGTGAAAAGAGGGGGAATTAAATTATGTTTAGGATGAAATTTTGACAATTTTTCCAAAGAAAACTCTAAACAAATCAAGAATTGAACGAAAATTCTAAATAAATTCAATAAAACGAATCGATGAAGTTAATAAAAAAATGAATGAAATTTCGAAAAAAAAATATGCAAAAATGAACAAAATAGTAAAAAGAAGATTTTTCGTTGAAAAATTCCAAAGACTTTGGTCTACAAAGCCTTAATTGTCTGGACTAGTACAAAAATTCAACGAAATAATCATTAAATCAAAAAAGTGCCGAAAATTCACACAAAAAAAACCCACTTACACCACGCTTCCATCTTGACCGTGTTCAAGTGTATTGTTTGTGTTGAGACTAGCTAATTTGGCTCGAAGTTCAGGCACATGATCGATGCCGGCGCCACCGGCGTTTTTCTTAATGACTCCATCAATGGCATCCAGCCCATTAACAAACGGTAGTTTAATTTCTGGGAATTTCTTCTGAGCACGTACAAGTTTGGCATTCGCATCGGCCGTATTGCCAAAATTCAAATTCATTTGGCTCTTTGTTTTCTGATTGAATGGTTCGGAGTGTTCGTCTCGATAAATGCCACACAAATCATCCTGATTATACCGTAATGCCGTAATCATTTGGCTGTATGTGCATAAATCTTTGCCATTGTACAGATAAATGTGGCTAAAATCGTTGGATCGATACGACGTCGAATTGGACGAAGAGAGTGACAGACGATCATTATTACTGTCAGTGTCCGTAATGATTGTAGCATCATCTTTGCTGAGCATTGCCGACGAGCGACGTTTCTTCAAATTCCGTTCATTCTTCATATCGTCCACATACTTCAGAATCAGGTTCGGTTTAATCAGTGTCACATCCACTAATTCATTTTGTTCGTCATTGCTGAAGCTAGTCCAAAGGTTGGAGTATGCATCGACGATATCCGTAATGTCACTACTTATCTTCTCGGCCAGTGGATTCAACGAGCCGAAATATTCTTTAACTTTTTGTTGCATTTGAGTTGCCATTTCCTCAATTGAGTTTGATTGATTTTCTTGTCGTTCAACGGATGTGTCTCCAAATACCGATATCGATGAGACACTTATACACGCCTATATTTCCAGATTATAACTATATACACAAATTGAATTAGCCCAAACAGCGGGAGAAAAAAAAACCCATTGATTTAAAAAACGGATTCAAAATTAATTCACGAATATTTTAACCAAATCTCTTACCATTCTGAAGCACCGTTTGTCGTGAGCAGCAATTGAGAAAATTCAGTGTCTATTTTCGGCGTGTTGCAGTCTCAAACCAAAAACATCAGCGACAAACAACAAAAACAATTCACATTGATTCACTCACAATTGGGAAATGCCTCGCGCACATCGATGATGTATATATAAATATTTCATACAATCGAACGAAACAAACAAAGACACACTACGATCATCATTATCATTGTACGCTGCGCTCGACGGTTTCTATATTCAAATCGAAGACTGAGTGAGACGACGATGTGTATGTGAGAGTGTGTGGTTAGCATATTGGTTAATATTTTTGGCTTTGCAATGCTAAACATATGCACACACACACACACACACACACAAGCGAATGGGCATAGAGTCGACCAACCGACCATATTGTACATACCTCTCTAATACAATCAAATGTGAATGCAAATGGCATCGAATGGGTCGTTTGACGATGAGATGGTGTGTGCGCGAGCGATGCAAAGACTGACTGACGTACACAAGACCGAAACAACAAAACGTCAAATGCGCATACGGTCATGACGTTGTTTTTTGTGTGTTCCTTCGTCTTCTACGGTGAGATTGTCTGTTTGTGAATGGGTGCGCTTGTCGGTATGCGTGTGTCTCGAACATTGTGCCCTATTCTTTCGTTTCATCCGTATGTGTGTGTGTGTGTGTGCGTGTGTATGAAATGACGTCGCGGCGTCGGTATCATTGCACACAGGACAAATATGTTGACGGTTTTGTTGTTCCAATACATATTCTCTCTCTCTCATCTCTTGCACTCGTTTCTAATCAGAATCGAAGGCGTTGTGATTTTGTGTTTTGCTTCTTCCATTCGTTGTTCGGTGCTGCCGCTACTACTGCCGTCATCGTCGTCGTCGTCGTCGTCATCGTCGCAATTGCTCTGCTCACTGTGTTTCTTCGATCTCCCTTCGTTCGCGTACACATGCTGCTCAAATACATAGAGTGATTCGTTTCCTTTTCAATGTTGCTTTGCCTCATTACTTAATCGCCTCTTCTTCGTTTGCCTGCCTGCCTGCTTGCTTGCCTGCTCTCTGTCTCTCTTTGTTTGTTGTCGCTCACTTGCCTGCTGTGTCTGTATGCGTGCGTGTGTGTCTGTTTTCTGCGAGCAATCCAAATACCAATTGCACATATAAAAGAAAAACATTTGAAAATGGCGTCGCGGCGTTAATATCAATTTCTATTTCTTTATCCAAATCGCATTTGATTGTTATTCAAAGACGTACACTTCTTAATTGGTGTAAGGTTATTGTCATTGCTTCAGTTTTTTTCTGAGGTGCAACTCTCTTTCTCTCTCTCGCTCGCTGAAATAAACAAGTTGTGTGTGAGTATTATTTATTGAATAGTGATTGAGGTTTTTTTTTTATTCTCTCAATATTCTAGTGTCTGTCATCTTTTGTTGTGTGTCAGGATTAAATTACATAAAATACGGAACACTAAGGACGTTCCAAATGAATTTCGTTTCAACTTCAATCCGTTTGGATTGTTTTAGTGTTTGAGATAAACATTTTATCGATTACTACGATTACTTTTGGAATTAAATCGTTCAATTAAAATTTAAAACGTTAAAACGGGACATTTTCCAGTGTCCACTTGACAATGGCATCAACCAATCAATAGTGTAATTATTCAAAGAGGACATAAATTGATGTGTGTTTTTTTTTCTCTGCTTGCATCCATCGAAATGTTTGTTATTGCGATAATCGATCTGTGCTCACCGAATCATATGTCACCGTTCCAATTGAACAAGGCTCCAGAGCATGCAGTGCGGGATTCTTATAAGAACAGTTCTTTTTTCTTTCGATAACGACACCAATTGGAATTTTTGTCATTGTTTTATCAATTGCTTTGGCTTTTGTCTCATAAGTGAAGCCTCTTTGGTTGAAGCATCGAATCCATTACGTCAATGAATACTGCTGTTATCCATTGATTTTGGACAATTCCATTTTTTGAGTGATTTTTTTTTTCAATTTCATTGTCAATTTAAAAAAAAATGCGTTTGTTTCTCCATTGAACAGGTAATTTAACTGCGCCTAAATTTATGCAATCGATTTTTGAACGATACAGAGGAAATTCAGCCGATTCGAGTCTAAAGTGAACACGACTATTATAGAGACGACTTTTTTGGTCGAGATTTTATTTTTTCGGTGATTTTTCCGTGTTTCAACGCTTTTATGGCCGAATTCGAATAGAAGGACATTTTGAGTGTGTTAATTTTGTACGGCCATAACAACAATGACGGGCATTTCACAACAATTTTGCGTTCGATGGAACAGTCATCTGGGTAGCTTGGGCGCCGCATTTCCTCAGGTTAGACACAGCTGTTAATTAATTACGAGATATACAATCGTATCAAAGAAGTCATAACCTTTTTGGAAAGTTTTGATCGAATATTGGTGAATTTTAGGTGGAATTAGGTGCTTTAAATCAGAAATTATTGCTATTTTCTGTTTGGAATTAGTTTGTGGCGTAATTTATCGTCAATTGTTAGTTAAACATCCAATTTTTATAGGAAATATTGCAAATTTCTGGTTCAAAATAAAGTTTTGAGTGTCAATTATCTCCAAAATTCAATGAAATACTAAATTTTTTTCACATTTTTCTCAGTTTTGTTCGAATTTGTCGGGATCTTTTGAGATTTTTCCATTTTTTTCGTTTTTTCGTTTTTTTCCCTAAATTTTTGTGAGACAAATATTCAAAATGAAACAAATTTCTTAAAAAAGGAAGCATTTGTCCTTTATTTCTATCCAGAACATTGGAAAATCAGCTTTTTTCCAATCTGAGAATTTCTAACAACATTTTTCTCAACACTTTTTATCATTTTCGTTGAATTTTTCTCCTTTTTTCGAATTTTTCAAAAAATTGTAATAAAAAACTCACATTTTCTCCTTATTTTTCCATTCTATCCCATTGCTGCTGTTCATTGCTCTATGGAACGTGGTATATCGCCCAAAAAATGGTAGTTATTGGCGGGTCAGCAATTTTTGGATGTAACATTGGCATGTGATGGTCATCAAGTGCATTGTCATCGTTTGGTGCTCGCCGCCTGTTCCAGTTACTTTGAGAGTTTGCTGAGTGAAAATCCCTGCAAGCATCCAATCATCATCTTGCCAAAAGACATAAAACTATGGGAAATCCATGCGTTGGTCGATTTTATGTACAAAGGACAAGTGAATGTGTCACAGGCGGGCCTTCCACAATTGTTAAAATGTGCCGAAACGCTGCAAATACGCGGCCTATGCGGCACCGAATCCTCACTCAACGAAGTGGCCAATGGGAAAATTGACCGTGATCCAAACCTTTTGTCCAGCACATGTAGTCCAAATTTTAATTTCACCTCAATGTTTGCATCAAATCTACTGAATGCCAACTATCAATCGGATGACGAGCCACAGCAACCGTTTCGGCAACAACACGCCGATTTCCAGCGTTCCGCATTCGCCGACACCGCCAAATCGACAACCAATCATCGCTCAAGTGAAACTCTAGTCAAAAATAAAAACGCCCATAAAAATGCACACGCCAGCGATAGAACGACCAAAGATCATTGCAATGCCACGCTAAACACGACCAAACCAACGCTCAAACGGATGAGCGACCATGAATCGGCCGGATCCAACAGCGAACTGAACATTAAATGCGAGGAAATTGGTGAGGAAATATGCAAATTTGCACTAGTGTTGCTTTTTCAGTTGGTTCTTTTTATTTGATTGAAGATGTTTGAAGACTCGTTTGAACATTCTTCAAAGACGACAAATGTTTTATTTGTTGTTTTTTTTATTTGATCATTTTTTGAATCTATTTCCAAGGATATTGGACTTTTTTCTTTGAAAATTTGAAGATTTTCGGATTTTTCTCTCTTTAAAAATTCAACGATTTTTTGATTTATTTAAAAAAATTAATTTTTTGGCCAAAAATGTAACTGCTCTTGGTATTCTTCTCATAGATTCTGATGCAAATGCAGCAGATGATGGCATGGACGATGATCTCGACGAACATTCGAATTCTAAGCAATCAGGTGAGTAAAGTATTGACTTCATTCTTTCTGTCTTTGCAAAAGCTCAATTTCTCTATCAGAAAGTGTCAGTTTCTGCTGTCTGGTGTTTGAATATGTTGGATATGTTTAAAGTTAGTTAAAAATTGCAAAGGTGTGAGATTAGATTTTAAGTTTGTAATTGTAAAGCGAACGTGAATTGATGAAAAAAAAAATAGGCAGATGATCCATTCATTTATTTATTTAATTCAATGAATTCTATAACATATTTTCTTGGCGGGAGAAAGGTATGACCCGTGTGGAAAAATGTTTGACTGACTAAGATTAATTTGGGACATTTTGACAAAATACTTGATTTCAATCCACTTAACCAGTTTCAGTTGTGTACCACTGCATACAGCTACATACAACTGAGTGACTGTTAGTCATTTTATTTGCACACGAGGAGTCAAAAAGTTCGTTTTTCAAATATGAAACAATTTCGATCGTCAATTCAAATGAGAATGTCGATTCGACAGAAAATAATGAGGTAGAATGCGTAGATTTCGTGTAGCGGTAGAAAGCACACACACATAAAATCTAAGCACATGCGTTTATGAACTGTCGAATGAAAGTTTTCTGATGCCAAACCATTTCGAGCTATAAACAGCCAATACAATTTCGAGCCACATGCGAAGCCATCCAAATTGAGAGAAACTATGCAAAATTTAAATTAAGACAAGATGTGATGCAAAATTTCGAATTTGAATTGGTCACCATCGAAGTGCGCGTCTGTGATTCACAAACCATTTTGATGAAAGAGCACACGCGAAAAATATAAACGGCGTTCATTGAACGCGAACCAAGAAAAATCGCAAGAAAAAATCTTTTCACAAACTAATCTTTTCATCAGCACAATTGAAATTGAAACGAAAAAAACAAATATTATAAAAATTTCCAACAAAATTCCGAGGAAATTCAATTAAAAGTCAAATTCCAAGGGAATAAGAAACGGAATTTGAGAGAAAAAAATTGCAAAACAAAAATCATCCACAGCGAGTGTGGAACAGCAACAACATCACACACACACACACTCACACAAAAAAAAAAAATGAAAAGAGAACAGAAATATAGCAAAAAAAACTGTTTCTCTATTTCAGAATATACGATGCAACAAAATGATGCGATCGTCGTAGACAATGATTTACTTGTAGTTTGCGATGGTTCAAAAGAAACAGCGCACAATGGATCCGATTCAAATGTACAAATCGATACAGAGATTTTTCCCGCGAATAATGGCAACGATACTATGGTCGACAATAATGACGACGCCGACGCCGACGATGATATTGACGATCCGAATTCGATAACGATCACACAAAATGATTGCGTTGACGATGTGAATGCTATGTGCTATAGTCCGAGTTGGAGTTTTACGGGCGAAGTGAACGCAGTACGCGTTGAAGAGGAGGTGGCCAGTCGTGAATTTGATTGTGATTTAACCGAATTGCCCACATCGTTGAAATTCAATCGGAATACGATGAGTATTTTTGTGAAACGAACCACTGCGGCCACCTCCTCCACCATCGCCAAACCCGGTTTAACAAAGCGGCCGTCAACCATCAATCAGACGGACTTCAGTGACGATAGTGAGAATATAGTTTGTTCGCCAAATTTCGGTGCGATTAGACGTGAAGCAACAAATGGGGCATCCCGAAGCACTGGCAACGATCACCATTTCGAAACATTTAATACTCATCACTCAGACGATGGCTATACGAATATGTATCAATCGATGGACAATGATGACGAACTGAGGACAGCCACTCGGGCAGACAGACGAAGTGATCGACTCATGGCATTGCTGAAGTACAAAGATCCATTACGAAGTGCCGTTGTTTTGCGTAGCCCACGCGGTAATCAGCCACGTACATACACCACTGACGCACTCTATGCCGCACTCATGGATGTCAAATCCGGCGAATCAATTTACCGGTGAGTTTTGCCGTTTTTTTTTTTTTAATTTTGATCACAACCATTTTGATTTGATCGTCTTTTCAACAGAACGAGATCAATTTTGAAATTGTTAAAGAGAAATTCATTTTACATTGCACAATTTGACCATTTTGATATCGATTCAACCATTTTGATTATGAATTAACTATTTAAAATGAGAATATCTCGATTTCAAATGGAAAATTGTAGTTAAAAAACCGAAAATCTCAGTTCCGAATGAAATATTCGTAATTTTTCATCTTCAATTGACTTCGTACTAATTCCAAGTCTTTTTTCGACTTTTTTTTTTTTGCATGTTTCTCTTCTGCCGTTGGTTCGACAGAGCATCACAAATTCACAGCGTTCCGCGGAAAACACTGCGAAATTGGATGAAGCGTTGGCACATCAAATCCGTCTACCCGATGCCGTATCAATTGAAAAAAGCGGCCGAAAAGAAACGTCAAACCGGCCAACAGCTGAATGAAACACAAACCGCAACATCATCATCAACACAGGCCGAATTATCGCCAGAAATGGTCGACACGAATGATTATTAAGTGAAAGTAACAGCAAGAGCTAAACAAGAAATGAAACAGCAGCCAAAATTCTTTGAAATTGAAAAAACGAAAGCGAAGCGCCAACTTTTGTATAAAGATAGAAGTGATTTTTTATTTAAAATTTTGTGTACGTGGAAAAGTGGCGAATGAGAGCGATATCATAGTCGAATTAGTATCACTACGCCATCTAAGCAACGTCTAGTCAAAAAAAGAAGAAACTTCGAATAATTTTCTTTAATCACACCATACCCTTTTTGTTCGTCTCAACAAAATTCGATTTTGTGTGCGTGTGTTTTTTGTGGCAATATTTATTTGTTCATAGCATTAGAGCACAGAAGTCTATCCAAATGAAATGTTTGAAATTCAAATGAATTACCCAATTTTAAACTATTGTACATTTTAAGTTGAACTTTGAATAAAAATTGATGCTAATTTTGACATTTGAACCGAACACGAGAGTCTATTGTAAATGAGCTTGGTAGAAAGGAGAAAGAGAGCTTGTGACTGACTGACAATGATGATTTTCTGTGGTGATTTAATGGATGAATTTTCTTCTTCTTACAGAATATGCAATGGCCAATGTTGTGTGTGAATATGCCAGCGAATCACCGACACGACCCACTTCATCTGCGGCCGGTTCGTTGATTTTAGACGACAGTCATCCGGATTATGGGCGATCGATGAGTCCACCGGCAAAACGTTTTGCTGGCGATAGTTATTACAGTGGCATCAGCGAACCTGGACGACGAATTCGACGAAGCGAATCGCTGTTGCGACAAGCCGCCGACAATGTTTCCAAGGGTCAAACGTTTCAAACCGTCAGCGACATGTTCCAAATTCCCATATCAACAATCAGGTACGGCAGATTTGCGTGTGAAGATTGAAAGAAGAAAGAAAAAGTTGAAAACCTGCAAAAAAAAAAAACCGTAAAAATCTGAAAAAATATAAAAAAAAATCACAAAAAATCGTTCAAAAAGCTAAAGCAAATCTGACAAAAAAGGGAAATTACCGAATATGTTTTGAATTTGCAGGTTCTTCATGGCGAGAAAAGGTATATTACCGCGACGTAAACGAGGCCGTGCTTCTACTACATCGACTGATGTGGATGATGTGAACAATTCACCGCATCATCGACAAGCAAACAGCACTCTTGACGTCGACTCCTGCAATACAAACAACTTGAATGTAGACCAACCTTAAGAAGGCCACGTCCATCGAATTGCATTTTTATTTCACGATTCGCATTTATTTATTTAGACATTTTTTAACCGATTTTTCGTTCGTTCCCCTTCGTTTTAAAAAATCATTTTTCGATGAATGTGCAAACACATTCGATTGTGCAATAACAACACATCACCCATTATGTTTTCTTCGTATTATCTTTTGTTGTTTATCTCTGACATGAATAAGTTACTAATCTGTAAGTCCTTTATCATCCATACATTTTCAATTGAAATTATTGATTTAGAGTCATTGAACGGAATTCCGATGAAATCTCATTCATTTTCATATTCATTTCGTGTGTTTTCGGGGAACTTCCCTTGCATTTAAGAAGAAAAGAAAGAAACTAGTCAATGACACAGAGTTTGCCTCCTCCAGAATACCTCACTCAAACCAACCACAATAGTTTTGGATCAGCGCGATCAACAACAACAGCATTTTCATTTCATCGCCAACGCATTCAAAGAAAAATCATCCATTTAAAATACACATTCAACACATTCTTATCCATGAACAGTCATTTCTGTGTATGTATGTACGTGTGTTTTGATTGTAGTTAAGTAATTGAAGAAAGAAAAAACCGAAAAATGACATTGTACAAATGCGCCAACAGATTTTCACACACAAACACACAGTCTGTGGTTCTTCAATTAGATGGAACGTGTGTTTGCTACACAGAGAGAAAGAAAAAGAGAAAACCAAAACATTATTCCAAGTTGTGTTTTGCATTTAGCGACATTTTGGATTTAAACAGAAATCCTGATGCAGTAATCAGAACAGACAGATCTATTTTCAATGAATTCCTTAGCCTCCTTTTACAAACACACACACAACTGTGTGCTTCGACATTCGATGCCACTCAATTTTCAACTCATTTTAATGTTGTACAAGTGTTAACACTCTCGATGTTTTCACTCATTACAAAAGACAAGCACACCGTTTGTTTAGATTTAGATAAAAATGGCCAAAAATAGAAGCGAACAATTCCAATGAGACCCCAGACAAAGATCTATTTGAAACAGAAACAAAATCCAAATATTTTAGCTATAAGTCCATTGTACACACTAAGCGAATGGAAAATCAATTTAAATTGAATAAAAAAAAAAAATATTTAAATGAGAAAATTAGCCGTTTTTCTTTAAATTTTAGTATCAATTGTTCACACTCTTGTGGTCAGAATATCCGCCATAAGAAAGGATTTGAGTCGTCTTTCTAAAATCCATATTTCAAATCGTCTTTTTTGAACGGTGAATTTGATCAACTTTCGATTTGAACAATAACATACATGCCACTACATGAGAACACACTTCAATTTTTTCACTGCCAAATACTGGCAGTAACACTGATAAAGCATCATTATTTATGGGTTGAATTTGAATGAGTAAAGATTCACAGGGAAGGAGAGACACGGGAACTATTTGAAAGATAATATAACGGACACGGCGGCGTGCAAAGCAAAATGCCGCCCCAAAATCTAAATTTGATGAGCAAAAAAAGATACTCATTTTCGAAAATCTATCTAGTGTACATTGTTCTCGAATATTGTTGAAATTTTTTCTTAGCAAAATTCTGCCCGATGCAATTGCTTCGCCAGCGTTGTGCTTTGCACACTACCGAACGGACAAAAATACTGCCAATATAGAATTTCACGGACAAGAAAGTAAAATTAATCAATGGATGAAGCAAAGCTCAGCTATCTTGTTCTTCCTGTCATTTGCGAAAAAAATAAGTTTTTTTTAAATTTGTTCTAAATTAGATGAATTTCATTGTGATCCTTGATCTTCAGATGCATTTTTCTTCAATATTTCGTCGTTTGACGATATTTGATATGTTTTTAGTATGAAACTTTACTTCAAATTTTCTTTTGAAAATTGGTTAATAAAATCCGATTTTAATAAGATTATCTTATTAATAATAAGATGGATCTTATTAACTTTTTAATAAAATGGCGATCTTATTAATAATAAGATAATATGTTAATAATATCGTAGAATCTTATTAATCTAATAATATGTTATGTTTGAGTTATTAGAAATTTTCCGATATTTTGGTTATTAACATATTAATGACATATCAAAAATGTAAATCTATAAGTCCACAGATATTTCGCGATTCACTTTCAAGCGAACGGAGTTCATGTAAATTCCTTTGGTGTACACGCGCAGCGGTTTTTCCATTCCATCTGTATAAATACAAAAGTGATGTGTTGGGCTAAAGCCATCTTCGAAAATGGTTATTCGTTTATCATGCGACGTTTCACTCTTTTTAGGAGCATCATCAGGCTGGAGAACAAAAGAATTTAAAATGTTTTCGAACGTTTTCCATTTTTTGCTATCAATTTACACAAATTGTATCAGCTCTACGTGTCCATCAAAAGAATTTGGTTATTGAGCTTCATTTGGTGTCTGAATATGATTACACGATGCAACAACAAGAAACAACTACAGAGAAGGGAACTTATTTACAAAGGTTTTTGGGCCCACTTAATCCGAATCTGGCATTAGTTTGTCCTGGCACGTCTAGTTTTCAAGATACATTCATTGCTTTCCGTATCAGATTTGAATTAAGTGGGCCAAAAAAACCTTGGAAATGAGTCTCCTCTTTTTGGGGGAAATTTTTCTTTAAAATTTGTTGCATAGTGTTAGTAGACCTCAATTCGTAAATTCCATAACTGAAAAATACCACAATTCATCAATTATACGTTGCAGTGCACGTGTCAGCTATTGGTAGATGAATGGTATAAAAGAGGCACCACCGCATAGGGGAGACCAAACGAATTCAAAGTATCTCTTCTCAAATTATCATTGTGCAACAGGTTAAAACTCTGTTTCGTTGGCAAATTAAAATGAATCTACTACACGGTTTGTTTTTGGTGCTATTTATCGTTGCATTTTCGGTAAGTTTTTCTATTCCATTATCATTTTCATTTTTATCCAACAAAATGCGATGTTTCTGTAGAATTGAAAGTGAACACGAAATTTATTTTTTTCTAGGAACTTCAAGGAAAACGTAAGACAATTTTTGTTTTCGTACACACTTTTAATGATTCCAAGAGATTTTTCATTTTAAAATTTCAACTCTTTTCTCTAATGAACAGATGGATTTTTCTCACAAGCTCTTCTCAAGGGCGAAGTGATTGAAACTATGTCACAGGCAAAGTTTGTTGCTGGAATCTATACCCCTGCAAGTAAGTCAGCTTTAGAATCATTTTTATTCTTTTTTTCGTGTGAATTTTCTATTCAAATATTCTATCGATTTTGTGTGTGTTCATTTTTTTTTTTCAAAATATTGTTTGTACTGAGACGAAACGATTTCATTACAGGATATTTGTATGCATTCAAAGACAATTTAACTGATGCTGATAGAGAAATGCAGTCTACATGTACCGCATTTATTTTGTCAAAAACGGAAATTATCACGAATGCCCATTGTGTTGCTGGCGCTCCATATGCCTTTGTAGTAGCTGGTACGAAAGTTGCATCAGACGAAAATCAAAAAATCAAAATCAAAGTCGAAAAAGAGAACATTGCATGGCACCCTTATTATAGTCATTTAATTGTTGGTGCATTTGATATTGCCAAACTTACATTGAAAACGCCGTTAGAATTCAGCGATACCGTTGGCAGTATCAAACTCGTGGACAAGGATTACAAATTGAATAACTCATCAGAAGTGGTCACTGTCTATGGGTATGGCGTGTTGAATCGACCAATGATATTGAGGCGTTGCGATGCGAACTATATATCTGACGTCGAACGGGCCATCACATTTAACCCAGTTCAGACTTTGTACTTTACCACTGGCGAAGCTACAAACGATGGCAAAATTATTACACATGGCGATTCGGGTGGACCAATCGTTTCAAAAACAAATGGCAAAATCGTGGGCATAGCTGTGGGTATAAATGGAACAACAGGTGGCCGCGGAATGTTCCTTCCAATTGCATTATTCCTTGATTTTATCCATGATCCAAAGGTATCTAATCTCAATGCCCCAATTTGCATTCCAATAACGCGAACAAAATGTATTTTTGCTTTTATTTCAGAGCGTGAAACCACTTCCACCTTCGCTTACATTTAACGAAGCTAAATTTATAGCCGATATAGTGGTACCGGGAAGTAAGTGTGCATTCGAAATTTGAATTAAATCAATTTATTATGTGTTTATAATTTTTTTTTCTTTCGATGGTAAAAGAGGAGATTTTCCATGGCTCATAAACATAAATACACATCCTGAGATATTTTTCTATTACAGAATTTCTTACTGCCTTCGAAGACTCATATGCCAATGCCGACGAAGATGATCAAATGCTATTTAATGCAATCATTTTGTCGGAAACCGAGATTTTGACCTGTGCACATAATGTACTCGGCGCCCCATATGTCTATGTAATAGTAAATAAACTATCAAGCAATGCGACAGAACTTAAAGTCACTAAAGACCAGATAGAAATTCATGAGAAATACTCATTGTCTGGATTCGCATTTGACGTTGCCAAGATTACACTTAAAGAACGATTGGAGTTCAACGAGAACGTCGGCAGCATCGATTTGGTGGACAAAAATTACAAATTGAATGACCCGTCTGAAATAGTCTCTGTCTATGGTGATATGACATTGGATGGAACGGCGAGAACGAGACGTTTTGATACAAAGTATTTAGATGGCGCCATTTGCAAATCAAAGTTGGGCGCTGCATTTGATGCAAATAATTTGATGTGTTACACTTTAGATGAAAGCATGGGAACTCCCTCTACGTTTGGTGGACCAATGATTTCGAAAAAGAATAACAAACTCGTGGGCATGACCATATTTCGTTTTCCTGATGAACCGGTTATTTTTCAACCGATTGCACCGTTGCTCGATTGGATCCGGAAGCCAAGGGTAAGACGTAATCAAAGAAGAAGAATATAGGCTTGAAAAAGGGGTTTCAGGCGCCTGAAAAAGCTGAATACCGTCTCTTTTTTTGTTCCTGTCATTTGATGTTCAACAAAAGAACCGAATAAATTTGAAAATTTGGGAAAAATGCATTTTAGTTTTCATTCGGTAGTTTCATCTGCACGTAAGTGTGAGCGAGTGAATAGGTACTACGGAACTGGTGAAATGATGGCTCGGATTTATTCATAGTTCTGGCCATGTGTAGATTTTACCATATAAATCAATGTATAATTGCAGCCGCGCCGCGCCGTGCTCTGACCTCAGAGATTTTCATACAAACCTGCCATGTAGACGGTCGTAATACAAGCAAAAATTTAAAAAAATCTTTTCAGATTCTAATAGAGTATTTTGTGTGCACCGTTGGTATTATCGGCACATCGATATTCACGCTCCTTACCACTTAATTTTCACTCCGAAACTAAGTCACAACCAAAACCACCATTAAAACCACTTGAAACATGATGTCTATAATCAACAGATATTTCGCGATTCACTTTCAAGCGAACGGAATTCATGTTGCACTTTTGAAAAACAGGAATATTGTGATACGCCTATCCTAGTGTTGGCCGTCGAACACATTCGAACACTTGTTCGACCGTTCGTCAACATAAAAAAAATCGGTTTTGTTCGTTCGTTCGTTCGGACAATTGAAAAAAAATTATTTTGTTCGTTCGTTCGTTCGTGAAATAGAAAAAAAATTTTGTTCGTTCGTTCGTTCGTTGATTAAGAAAAAAAAGTGTTGTTCGTTCGTTCGTTCGGATAATATGCTAATGTTCGACCGTTCGGATTTTTTACATTTGAAATACATAGGAAGTAAATACAATTTTGATTTCTTTGGATAAGACTGAAGGTACAACGTTATTACCGGTGTTATTACTCAGTAATACCACTGTGTTTGTCCAAATAGGTGAAAATTATTAATTTACATGAATTTAAGTATTAGGCAAACATAATCAATAGAACTAATCATTTGTACATTTGGCGGCTCCCAATACTTCAATTTAACACATTGGTTTTCGAAAAAGTAGAGTATGTTTGCATTAATGGTTGAAAATATTAAGTTATTTCGACGAAGAGTATCAGGAGTTCATAAGTATCAGTACGTAGTCGAGCTCCGCTTATTGTACGGCATTAGCATAAACGAACAACATACGGATCAATGTATAAGAGTGAAATGACAACATCACTGAAACCGTAGCGCATGGAAAATGACACAGAAGAAATGCGACAACAAACAAACATTGCGAAATTGCAACGCATCGGGGAGAGTGGGTGAATCTGTGCTGTTCGCACAACAGCAAATATTCATAACACGTTGACACTGACTCAGTGAAGAAAACCAATACCAACGCAAATTAAAACAATTGATTTGTATTGCTTGGAAGACAATATGATATCATGTCTGTAGAAGAAATTTGAATTATATTCTAACACGTTTACCGAGACGATTACTCTCGCGTCAAATTCTATGCAAAGTCAAGTCACTTACATGCTTTGTGTAGCGAATTCGACCTTTTCCAATCGATAACCATCATTCAATTGGCGCTTCAGTTCGTCCGGTTCAATTTTTCCATAAGGTGTCGCTCCGAGTGAAAACAGCTCCCATAGTGTGATACCGAACGACCAAACGTCTGAGTATGTGCTAAACACACGATCATTTATCGACTCCAATGCCAGCCACTTGAATGGCAACTCACGCTAGCAATTTTGGAGGGAATAATTCGTTATTAAGAAAACATTATTGCGTGTATGTTCACATCGCGGTCGAATCTTACCGAGGTTTTCATGTGATAATTCTCGTTTTTGTACAATGATCGAGCCAAACCGAAGTCACAAATTTTCACCACATTATCATCGCACAGCAAAACGTTCCGCGCCGCCAAATCTCCATGTATCACCTTTCGAGAGGCCAAATAATCCATTCCACGCGCAATTTGAAATGACCAGATGAGTAAATCCTTTGTTGCAATCGAATGCGATGAAGCGGATCCACTGTCTGGATGAAAAAAAAGACAACTCAGTTGAGCAAGAAATGCATTTTGAAAACGAAAACTCTAATAAGCTAAGACTTACTTCCTGCCTTAGTCCGTTGCGATTGAAGCATTGGATCTACATTCGTACCACCCAAGTAAAATGAAGATTGTGCCTTTGATTGATAAACCCTCGCCAAATTGTTCAGAAATTTGCCATCAAAGTTTTTGACCGCTTTGCTGTTGAACGAAATACATTTTATCATCGAGAAGAATCTTTTCAACTGGGAAATCGATAACCGATTCAATGGCGGATGGTTAGAATGAGTGGAGACGTCCATTGGAGCTATGGTAACATTAATTTCATCGGTGCCTGGTATAATTTGATCGACAAAGTGTTGACGATTTTTTGTCAAAAAGCTCTGAAGATTACCAAACGGACAGTATTCAACGATGATCATCAGATTGACTGTTACCAAAGTGAAGTCAAAAGTGAAAAGTCGGTTAGATTTTATCATCAATAGAATCAAGCGATAAAATGATAAATGATAAATGTTAGTCCAAAGTGAATGCCAAATTTTTGCTCACATTTTGTGATGTCCTTAGTAACCGCACCGAGTAGGTTGACCACATTCAAATGTTGACCCAAATGAACCATGATTTTTAACTCCGATTCAAATGCTCGCATCACCTATTGAATTGATTCAGTTGATAATGAATGGAATATATTTTAAATGACCATTGACCAACCTCGTTGCTGGCGATATTTTTCACCATTTTGACGGCAACTCTTGTCTCCTCCTCACCATCAACGATTCCTTGTGCGATCGCTTCGTGCACAATTCCAAAAGCTCCAGTACCAAGTTGTTCGCCAAGCTTAAGCGCCAAGTGTTGCGTGGAAATTCATATTTTCTATCATACGGAAGCAGATCAGCCTGTACATCTAGTGCCAATTCTGGGTTAAAACCATCGACATCACCAGTTTCAAAATTGGTCAAGCCAGCGCTTTTACGACGTTTTCGGAAACAATAGAGAGCCAAAGCGCATAAAATCAAACAAATTACCAACGCCAATGCCAATGATCCAAAAATAAAAGAGTCGCTCTTGTACCATGGTACACCTGAAATTAAACAGGGGGAGAAGCCGGTTTGCTAAACACAAGCTTTCGCTGATGTTTTTTTTCATACGTGAACTGTATGCCGACTTCCCGACTTCCAACTGGCCGATCATATCATTTTCAGTTTGAAGAGTGGTTATCGTTGTGCTGCTTCCTGTGATATTTTCCACTGAAGTATTTTCCACGCTGGCATCAGTTTGGCTTTGAGTTTCATTATTTTCAAATTTGACGCACGGATCTCCGATGATCTCTAGGTTTTCCCATTCTTTTCTGTACATGGCTAGGTAGGTGCAATCCAATTGACTATTTGTGATGTCCAATTGCGTGAGTTTTGGAAAAGAACGCTTAATAAGACCATCAAGGTGCGTTAGGTGATTTTGGCTCAAGTTAATATCTTTTAAATACAAGAATTTAACTGAAGAGAAGTTCAATTCTGTTAAATGGTTTTTGGACAGATCAAGATAATCCAACCGTGATTTGAAAGTTTCAAAGGGTTTAACATCAGAAATCGATAAATTGGTGTGTCGTAGTGAAAGCCGTTTAACATAAGGGTTTCGTTTGAATGTGGTTTCATTCAATTTTCCAACATAACTTCCAGAAAGATCCAGAATGTCTAGATGTGATCCCAAATGTTGCATGATTTCAGCGGTATTTTCAAAATTGTTATCGGCTGCTTGAAAGTCCCATAATCCATCCAAAGTATCCGACAGTACACTGACATTCAGTCGCTTCAATTTGTTTCGTGAAATGTCTAATTTGAGAATTTTGAGTGGATTCACATCAAAATGTTCCAAATGTGTGTCTGACAAATTTAACCAATTCAAATACTTCAAATGTGCAAATGTGCTGAGATTCAATGCTCCGATGAAATTCTGCGAAAGGTTCAATATCCGCAGTCCTGATCTGAGACTGCGTATAATTTCTTTGACGTTATCAAAATGATTTCCAGCTGCTTCTAAAACCATTAAATTATTCAAAGTTGTTGAAAATAAACTGACATTTTAGTGTTGTTAAATTGTTGTGGGAAATATCGAGTAGCCATAGATTGTCAAAATGCTTGAACGGATTTGATCCAGCAGCGAATGCGAGGTTTGTTTCACTTAGATATAACCATTTCCAAATATGTTTCCACTTAAATCTAATTCATAAATCGATTTTACCAACATATTTACTATGTCTAGCGCGTTCTGCAATCGATTTCCGCGGATACAGAGTGCGCCTAAATTTTTCAAGTTCATCTTAAGAAGTCGGAATTTGCTGTTTGCATTTTTGAAAATTATTTCCTCTTCATTTGTTGCCCATTCCATACGGTTCACACAAGATAAATCGAGCCCATCAACACTTTCGAAAGATACTTTTATTGAAGTCACACCATTCAGTAGCTGTGTAATGTCACAATCTAACGAGGTTTAGTGTTTTTATTTTGGAATTCTTCATAAAAGTGTCCTTAGGAATTGAACTAATTTTATTATCAATTAGGTTGAGCTCTTCTAAATCGGAAAGCCCACTAAATAAACCCGAATCTATTACAGCGATCCGATTATGCGAAATGTTTATGGTTGATAGCTTGGGCACTTTTGAAAATGTCAATTCGTGAAGTTGTTTGATTTGGTTGTGCGAAAAGTCCACTTCCGTCAGTTGTTTGAACTGCTTCAAATGTTCGAATGGAAAATGTAAGTAGCCCAATGTTGTATAGTTCGAATACGAAATGTCTAACGTGCGCGCAAATTGATATGTATTAAATGTGGACTCGATCGATTCGGCAGAGCAGTTCTGAATTTTCAGCATTTCCGTTTTCAAATAATCACACTCTAAATGAGGATTTAGATAATCAGGCGATTCATTGCAAACAATGTATCACGATTCATGGTTTCTAGCTGTGAAGGGAGTTACAGCGCCATATGTGGTCAGAAAAGTCATTCTTTGAAAATTTATTCTTTTGTTCCATGCTAGGCAACATTTTTGATAATAACTCGATTTGCC